GGAGAAATTGCCTTGGCAAAGGAATCCCGATTTCACAAGAGAACCAAGCACATCAAGAGACGCTTCAATTCCATCCGCGATCAAGTCAAGGAGGGAGACATAGAGATTTGCAAAATACATACATATCTGAATGTTACAGACTCATTGACTTAGCCTCTCTCACGAGAAAAACATGATCAACACCAAGACTCCATGGGTGTTAGAATCATTACAATGTAAAATAGATTATTGACTCTAGTGCAAGTGGGAGACTAAAGGAAATATGCCCTAGAGGCAATAATAAAGTTGTTATTTATATTTCCTTATATCATGATAAATGTTTATTATTCATGCTAGAATTGTATTAATCGGAAACTTAGTACATGTGTGAATACATAGACAAACAGAGTGTCACTAGTTTGCCTCTACTTGACTAGCTCGTTGAATCAATGCTGGTTATGTTTCCTAACCATAGACATGAGTTGTCATTTGATTAACGGGATCACATCATTAGAGAATGATGTGATTGACTTGAACCATCCGTTAGCTTAGCACGATGATCGTTTAGTTTGTTGCTATTGCTTTCTCCATAACTATACATGTTCCTATGACTATGAGATCATGCAACTCCCGAATACCGAAGGAACACTTTGTGTGCTACCCAATGTCACCACGTAACTGGGTGATTATAAAAGTGCTCTACATGTGTCTTCGATGGTGTTTGTTGAGTTGGCATGGATCAATATTAGGATTTGTCACTCCGATTGTCGGAGAGGTATCTCTGGGCCCTCTCACTAATGTATATCACAATAAGCCTTGCAAACAATGTAGCTAATGAGTTAGTTACGGGATGTATCATTACGGAACGAGTAAACAAACTTGCCGGTGACAAGATTGAACTAGGTATTGAGATACCGACGATCGAATCTCGGGCAAGTAACATACCGATGACAAAGGGAACAACGTATACCGTTATGCGGTTTGACCGATAAAGATCTTCGTAGAATATGTAGGAACCAATATGAGCATCCAGGTTCCGCTATTGGTTATTGACCGGAGACATGTCTCGGTCATGTCTACATAGTTCTCAAACCAGTAGGGTCCGCATGCTTAACGTTCGGTGACGATCGGTATTACGAGTTTATGTGTTTTGATGTACCGAAGGTAGTTCGGAGTCCCGGATTTGATCACGGACATAACGAGGAGTCTCGAAATGGTCGAGACGTAAAGATCAATATATTGGAAGCCTATGTTTGGACATCGGAATGGTTTCGGGTGAAAACGGGAGTATACCAGAGCACCGGGAGGTTACCAAAACCCCCCGGAGGTATATGGGCCTTATTAGGCCTTAGTGGCGGAGAGGGGAAAGGAGCAAAGGAGCCCCCCCAAGCCCAATCCGAATTGGGAGGGGGGCTGGCCCCCTTTCCTTCCTCATCCCTCCTCCTTCCTTCTCTCCTAAATCCAACAAGGCAAGGGGGAATCCTACTCTCGGTGGGAGTAGGACTCCCCTTGGGGCGCGCCTAGGAGGCCGGCCCCTCCCCCTCCTCCACTCCTTTATATACAGGGGAGGGGGCACCCCATAGACACACAAACTGATCATTGATCTTTAGCCGTGTGCGGTGCCCCCTCCATCATAATCCACCTCGGTAATATCGTAGCGGTGCTTAGGCAAAGCCCTGTTCCGGTAGCAACATCATCACCGTCATCACGCCGTCGTGCTGACGAAGCTCTCCCTCGAAGCTCTACTGGATCGTGAGTTCGCGGGATGTCACCGAGCCGAACGTGTGCAGATCGCGGAGGTGCCACATCTTCGGTGCTAGATCGGTCGATTGTGAAGACGTACGACTATATCAACCGCGTTGTCATAACGCTTCCGCTTACGGTCTATGAGGGTACGTAGACGATACTCTCCTCTCTCATTGCTATGCATCACCATGATCTTGCATGTGCCTAGGGATTTTTTTTGAAATTACCGCGTTATCCAACACATACCACCATCAAACCCCCTTTAATAATAGTAAATGACAGTGTCGATCAACATGTGGCAATACAAAGATACCATTGGGCAAGAATGGGAAAAATAGTGCATTATAAAAAGAAACATTTGCGAACCAACTTGTGGTTGGATGGTTAGAGGGAAGTGGTATCCCCAGCTCACCAGGGTTCAAGTCCTGATGCTCGCATTATTTCTGGATTTATTTCAGGATTTCCGACGATGCGCATTCAGTGGTCAGAGACGTTCCCGTCGATGACGAGGCGCCTACGGTAACTTCGTAAATCTCAAGATAATATGTCGGCTCAGTCTCTCGGAGGTGCTCATAGGGGTGAGTGTATGCAGGTATTTATGAGCGCTTGCTTCTGTGCTGTGTTAAAAAATATTTTTGGTAATGTTAAAAATTTCACATCAGATTTTTAATGATTCCAGAGCAAAGACCCTCAGGCACGTCGGGTCCCGCATGTGAATCCTAGAGCGTTCGGCCCTCACACCCCTCCGAGTGAACTACGAGTCGACGAAATAAGAATGCTTTTTTTAGAACGAAGGCTCGCGAAGAGCCCGACTTTGAATTAACAAAGCCATCAACCGGCCAAGAAATACAAACACACACAAACCCCACAACCAAACGATACAAGGGGACACTCTAGGAGGCTTACAACTCAACGGGTCGCACAAGCTCAAAAAGAATACATGAAAACAGAGCTCGAAGCTTGTCCTAGCCGAAGACTATAGCCAAACAGCCATCTAGGGGTGAGGCACACACGAGCACGACGAGGATCTGCTTGCAACAGAGTGTGGCAAGTGAGCTCGACCAACGCCCAAGTAGAAAGACAACACACATCCGCTGTCTCTCTCGCCGCAGAGGGACCCTTCCCTCTCGCCATGGCTCGCAAGGCGCCGTACCCAGCGGACTTGAGAGACGCTCACCCTAGAGCAAGGGACGTGCCAGCTTCGGGACCTGGATCAGCCGCAGCACATCACCACTTGAACATTCGAGCACTTCGCGACTGCCGCATCGCCACAACCTAGAACGCCGGAGAGCTGCAGGAAAACCACCAGGTGCAGCTACTGAAGAAAGGCAGCAGAGGCATCAAGTAAACCGACAAGCCAACGAGGAGAACGTGACACCGCCGTCACCGAACCACCCAAGCCACCCAAGCTCCGACCTATGAACCCCTCACCTGAACGCAACCCTCCCCAGGCGGCGCCCCCAAGGAAGACACGACGCACATCGCGCCGTCGCCGCCCAATCCAAGCTGGATTTTGGGCTTTCACCCGGGAGGAGGAACAGGGGTGGAAAGGGGAAGGACCTCTGCAGCACCTCCAAGGAGGAGACGGCGTCGGGGACGTCGATGCTGCCAGGCCGGCCAAGCCGGCCAACGGTTTCCCGTGGCCCAAAACCAGACCACTGAACACCCACCCACATCATACCGGCGCTCGGAGGGAGGCGACGAGAAGCGGCGGGGACGAGGGAGACAGGGGAAAGGAGCCATCCTCAGATCTGACGGGGAGGGGAAGACCTTCGCGCCGCCGCCGCCACCCGCCGTCGTCTCACCACCCGCGTGGTCGAGGCCGCCGGCCAGAGCACCCCGCAAACGACGCCGGCCGAGAAGGCGCCGCTGCCTCGCCAAGAAGGGCCGCCGCCCCAGATCCGAGGTCCTCCTCGAGGAAAAGAGCGACCGAGGCCTCGCCGCCACCATCACGGGCGGCCGCGCGAGCG